TTGGTACCAAGGATTGAACTCCAGTCCTTGTGCTTGAAAGGCAGGCAGTAGAACCACTGAGCTAAATCCCTGGCCCCATTTTGTTCATCTTTATCTTGTCTTCTGCACTGCACCTTAAATTTATCATGTCCTGATCAAATGTGCTCAGGACCCAGCTGATCTTACCTTCCAGACTCATGACTTTGGCCATCTGTGTTCCAGCCATACATATCTAATGATGTCCTGGGTTGTGGTGTCATGGGCAATGGTGGCTTGGGAAATTATTTATACTGATTGATACAAAACTTGTTCATGGCCTCCCTCTGAGTTAATTTTTTTTCTGATTATTTATCTGTATTGGTCAGTGTTCATGAGAGAAATAAAGAGAATACCCACATATATGAGGCTTATTAATATTAAAATATACCCACTCATATGTATATTATCAGTAGATGATTAATACCAGAAAAGGAGAAATTTATCACAAGGAGTTACTTGAGGAAAATGGCTAGGTGAATCTGAAATCCATGGGGCAGACCACTAAGAAAGGCAGTCTGGAAACCTATAAGTAGAAGCTGAAGCTGTTACCCAGGATATTTCTTCTTCCTTCCTGGGGTAAACTTCTGTTCTGTTCTCAAGGGCTTTCACCTGCTTAGATCAGGCCTTCCCAGGTCATCCAGGATAAACTTCTTTACATAAATTCAACTGATTGCCGATATAATTGTGGTACTAGACTAAGTGCACCATTGGTTGAATAACTGGATACTAGTTAGGAGAAGGCCTGCCACAGCTGGTCTCGCCTCAACTCATGGAGGTGGGTTTCACAGAGGCCCCCTTAATGCTGATTGAGGTATGGTGGAAGACAGATAAGGTCAGGTCCATCCACAGGGACACAAAGGCAGGACCTGGGACAGCCAGCCCCAGTATGATTTTATGTTTGTTTGGTGCAGCTGTGGGGTCCAAGCCTAATTTTCTGTTAGTCTGAACTTTTACTCCAGGTGTGCTATATGGCTGTGACCTACCTATCACTCTCAGGAAAATGCTAGAGGGACACTGATTACATTCTTAACAGAAAGCTCTGGCCTGCCTTCACAACATCACTAGCGGCCTGGGCATTTCTCTGGAACCCAGGAACCTTGCACATGCTAGGCAGCTGCTCTACCAAGCTACACCCCCAGCCAGCAGATGAGATGCAGAAAATTGATTGATTGTGTCCAAGAGTATGAGTAACTGCACTTTCACCAGAAGCCTGTTCCAGGCCTGAAGACCTGCAAGATGGCAAGACTTTTCTGGTGACGATCAACTCTGTACAGGTTTATGATGCAGGACTTGGAGGACAGAGACTCTTTGGGGGCCGCTTTCCATAGTAAACCTGGTGGATGGGGATCTTGAGAAGGGAAGTCTCAGCAAGGAGGGGCAAGAGGCAGGGAGGAGGCCATGTGTTATGGGACAGGTGGGGAAATAATCCAGTCAGAGTCCACAACAGGGGACCATTCGAGAAATGTTCAATTATAGGCAGCTGGTAGTCATGCTGAGAATGGCTGTGCTCTCCCAGGAAGGTGGGGGCCATCAGTGCAGGTGGACACTGGAAATTGTGCCCCTTCTGACCAGTGCACAGGGCCCCCACTTGCCAGGAGAGCTGGCCGCCTGATGACCACAGCTGAGGCCCCTCCAAGTCTCCCCTCCCTGGGTTCAGAGTGAAGAGGCCCAGCCCATCTTAGCTTCAAGTGCTCTGAGTTCCTCTCCGGCCTTTGGGGAGACCTCCCTGCAGCTCCCTCCTCCTCCCTCCAAGGGCCTCCTGGAGACACCTCCACCAGAGACTTCCTGCCCCTTCCGGCCTCAGGCTCTGCTTCCTGGGACCCCGCCTAGTGAGGAAGGCACTTCCTGGAGAGGGAAGAGTGGCTCCTTGAGGGATAGTAGCCCTCCCTGCACTGGTCACCTCTTCTGCATTCCCGTGCTTCCTTCCACCACAGGGAGACAGGACCTTTGTGACTTAGAGAGCCCTGTTTTCTCACCTGCCCCACTCCCACCCTTCCTACTCACCTGTCTGACTTCGAGCCTTGGCCCCTTCCCAGCATGATGACCGTGCCAACCCTGCCCCCAGCACGGGTGGGTTCCTGGCATCCACACTGGATTCCTCACTCACAGGGCAGGTACCCATGGGCCCCATGCCCAAGACTGTTCCTCTCCAGGAGGGGACGTGTTTGCAGTGGGATTAAAACAGGAAATAATCGTGTCCACCACAAGACCCCCTCCATGGCTTTCTGTTCCTATAACAAATACCCAAGATAAGCAGCTTGTAAAGAGAACAGGGCTATTTGGGCTCAGTCAATGTAGCCGTTTCAGTCAATGGTCAGCTGATCTCCTTGCTTTGGGGCTTGTGGCATGGCAGCACCTGAGGAAACACATGCTAGAAGTGAAGCTGCTCATCTCTCACGGGGGAGGAAAAAAGAAAGGAAGTGACCAGGGTTCCACCATCTCTTCAAGAGCACCCCAGTCCCCTAAAAGCCTCCTACCAGGCCCTGTCTCGCTGAGGTTCCACCTCTTCCCTTCCAGTGATGCCAAGCTGGGACCAAGTCTTTACCACGTGGGACTTGGGAACACTCCAGACCCAAACAGTAGCAAGGACTTGTCTACACTGCCACGGCTTCCGCCCGGACTCACTTCCACGTGGAGCCACGTGCGTTCTGATTGGAGCCTGAGCCCAGCATAGCCCTCCAATACCTGGGCCTGGAGGCTGCTGCCCTCCGTGGAGAAAGCCATCCCGGGTGTCTCTGCTTCACGAGCAACACTCCATTCTGATGAGGCGAAGCCAAAAAATGGACCAAGGATACGGTTCTGCCAAAGAGGAAACGAGTCAGCAGACATGAGAGGCTCAGCCTTGCTAGTAACCGGGGACATGCGAAGAAAATCAATCTTGAAATATTGCTCTGTTCAGCCACATAATTGGCAAAAATTAGTTTGATATTATCATGTGCTCTCAAGGCTGAAGGAAATCATTAACTCTCGAGTCCTGGGAAAATGTGTGAATCCCAGGGCCCCTGATTCCACTTCTGAGCGTGAGCCCTGGAGAAGCCCTGCCAGGTGCCCAGAGTGCTGCCTATGGATGTTAGAAATATCGGCCTGTCCATAAGGTGGGGAGGGCTGCACAGGCTTCTGGGAGTCTGCGACAGAATACTGTGCAAGGATTTTAGGCCAAACTTAGGTCTACCTGTAGAAATATAGAAAATTATCTTTAACAGTTTGGGAGGATTGAAACTAGCTTCCTAAGAGCTCCTTTTTGAGGGATGCACTAGGTGAGAGGGAATTTTGTTTATATGGAATCTTTCCATTGCTTTAAAAGAAAGCATCTTGATGTGGTTCTTGCATAATAAGAAGACAGTGTCTCAGGCCTGACCTGGGCATACATTCCCTCCTCCCACCCGTCCTTGTCCATGACCTTGAGCAGGAAGCTCTCTGTGTCCACCACCAGCCACTGGGCAGTCTTTGCACGCCACCCAGTCTCCCATTTCTATGGGACACCCAGAGCCTTTCAGTTTATACCTTTTCCCTACCAGACACACCCAACACCGACACAAGCCACATCTGAATCAAGTCTAGTCTACAGCCACACTACTCTGCACACGCCCCTCATTTGAATCAGACGTCTAGACTGTCTTACTAGCCGCTTCTGGGGAATGAACAGTCCCCAAACCCAATGGCATAAAATAATCCCCATTTGGGATTGAAGGGTCCTAGTGCTGTTGTCCCCACCCCATCCCCTTCCATAGCAGCTCCCAGGGAAGCCAGAGGTCTCCTACCCCCGAGGAAGGGATCTTTCCATGAAATCGGCATGTGCAGCACCAGCAACACCCTCTGTGAGTACCCCCGCATAACCTGCTGTGTTTGGTTAAACTCCAAGCCCTGTCCCGGAGGAACTGGACTGGATGCACCTGAAGAATCACCCTGGCCAGCTGCTGCTCTGGAAGGACCTGGGTGGACCTGCAACTGGGACCCCATACCCACTCAGTCCAGGGAGGGTGGTCACACTCCTGGCTCTCGTGACCCTCGAGGCGTCCACTCCTGGCTCCCGTCACATTGCAGGGTTCTGCCCAGCCTCTTGCACCTGTGACCATGGGCCTAGTTTCTGAGTTCAAGCTCATTCCTCCTCTTTTTCTCTGGGCCCAACTTTATCCTGCCTGCTAAGAGTGACTGCAGTCACGTAGGCGCTGTCCTTAGCGGTGCGATCCCATGGCCCACTCAGCTCACCATGGCCTGGGATGGAGTCCCAGGATGCAAGACCACAAATGCTGAGTGCAACTCTCTCCTAGACAAGCTCCCCAGCCTCCCTCTGAGGAAGGTCTTCCCTCAAAAGGCAGACCTGAAAGGCCCCGGAAGGGGCCTCCTGGACTGGCTGGGAAGGATGCTGGAGTCCAGAAGCCCTGCCCACCCCCACCTCTGCCACCCATGCCTCAGGAGTCCTGGGCTGGTACCTGTGAGAGGTGCTGGAAGCCAGTCCCCAGGTAAAAGGCTGCAGCCTCATGTCCAGAGTCAGGACTTGGGTTTATGTCCAGCTCCACGGCTCCGTGACCTTTAGCAACTCTCTGACCCTCTGAACCTGGTGAGATTGCTGGGAATGGAAAGTGTCCAATAAATATGTGCTAATTTTAGAGATTATAAAGACTCCATTTGCCATTATTCTGTTTAGGAACCAATATTCTGCGACTTCCAAAAGTTTGAGAACCTCTGGAGTAATCGCACAGTTTCTTTCCCTAAGTTCTTGGCTGGCTTCCTGTTCAGAGCATGAATTGCGGAAAGGAAAGGTAAGAAGGGAAAAAGCCAGAGGGGGAAGTTCTGCAGCATTAGGGCAAAGCGCTGGGTGACAGCTTTGAAATGAAGCCACAGGGCTGCTAATTGCATTCTCCAGGCCCTAAGGCCGGAGCTCTGCTCCCCAGGACAATGTGAAGGATGGTGGCTGGTATTAAGGAAGGCAGACTTTGATTAGGCCATCAGACAGGTAAAGAGGTATTGAGCCGACTCCCTGTGACTTGTCACTATGTACAATTAACTGGTGCAAGGGCGCACACATGTATGTGTGTTTGTGTGTTCGTGTTTGTATGTGCGCTCGCGCGTGTGTGTGGGGGGAGCCTCTCTCTGTCTTTCCTCTCTCCCCCTTCCCCTGGTGCCCTTTATCCTGTTTAACAAAGTGTGTGTACAGTGCACCCACATGTCCACAGTGGGGGCCTGGGAAGCCTCTTCCATTCCACACGTATTCACGAAGACCTACTGTGTGCCTGTGGTGCCTTCAGGGACAGGGACAGAAAAGAGAACAGAAGGTGCTGTGCCCTTTGGTACTTCCGTTTCCTGGAACTCGTGGGGCAACTAGCAAACAAATGGTAGGGGTTCCCCACCCACGGTCAGCGATCTTGATGAAGATGGATGGGGAGGGAGGGAGATGAGTGTGGCTGGTGTCAAGGCACAGTCTGGGGAACTCAAGAGGAAAGACATGGAGCCGACTCTGTGAGCTCACAGAGAAGCCTTGTGGCTGCATCCAGATGTCCCCCCAAAGCCTCAGGCAGTCATAGGTGGGGCTTTTCGGAGGTGGCTGGATCGAGGGTGTGTGCTGCTGAGATACAGGACGTGATGCGGAGGTTGACTCACATTGTGATGCTAGGATTAAGAGTGTGCTTGCGACCCTAAGGGTGAGCAGCCTGGATAAAATATAAGAGACAGAAAGAGGGCTGCTGTGGTGGTTGCTGTCGTCACCTGTCACTTGTCACTTGCTTGCTGCTGGCTGCCCTTTGCCTCCCTTGTTCTGCCATGAACTCTCTCCTCCGTGATGCCCCTCTGCCGTGCCACTCTGCCTTGGAGCCAGCTGGCTATGGACTGAAACCTCTACAAACCGCGAGCCGAATAAACCTGTCCTCCTTTAACTCTGCGTGTTGGATATTTTGTCTCAGCAATGAGAAAAATAACTACGACAAGAAGCAAAGCTCCTGAACCTGAGAGGCGAGAGGAGCCCAGAGCAGGGCTGGCCCCACCACCTGGTCCCACGGTGCCGGTTAACGTAGGCATCAGCAGCTATAGGACAGGAGACTCGGCCTTGTTGTGATCCAGGTTGGGACACTGGGGCAACACAGGTGACACGCAATGGCACGGGACGGGAGAGGGCCGGTCCTTTTCCTTTGGAACAGAGGATGGGGGACTTAGTCTTGAAAGCGCTGAGCGGGAGGTGAAGGGGGAGCAGTCACTGAGGTGGCGCCAGGTGAGGAGGAGCAACTTCGAAGTGGGGATCACAGGCATCTGAGGCATCAGCATGGGTGATGGGCAGGATGAATCAAGTAACAACTGTTGGCAACTATGCGAGTCAGGGACTGGTGCCAGTAAGTGCCCCGGAGGGTGATGTGTGTTTATTTGACCCAGTTGTTCCCCTTCTAGGTATTTTTCTGAAAGGGTTAGAAATCACATTACAGTGATCCATGCACCACCTGTGTTTATAGCAGCACAACTCAAAGGGCTAAATCCTGGAAGTGACCTGGATGTCCATCAACAGATGAGCAGATGAAGGAAGGGTGACATCTACACATAGTAGAGTACAACTCTGCCGTAAAGGAAGACAGACATGAGTCATCTGTAGGAAAAGGGATGCACCCTGAGACCATAACGATGAGTGAAATACACCAGACACATGAGCTTGGTTGTCATGTGGCTTCTCTTACATGAGAAACCCAATGTCCATATAAAGAGCAAACATAAAGACACATAATGGGAAACAGGGAGACAGATCTTCCTCAAAGGGAAAGAGACCAAGAGATGGGCGGGGGGGAGAGGATGAAACAGGCATTGAGATGTGTTCGGCATCTGCACCAACTCCCCCCGAGGAATGTAGGCATTATGTGCTGCAAATACGGACTGATAAAAATACAAAGCCTCATCTGAAATGGGGCCAGCCTCACCTGACTCTGATCAGGACAGCCTTATGTGAGGTAATTTGTACATGGGATCTCTTAATCTTCACGACCACAGCTAACAGCAGCGGTCCGAGGCTTGGAGAAACAGCGTACCTTGCCATGTTCTTTTCCTTAATTAGATAAGAACCAACTAAGCACTTGCAGACACAGCTAGTAAAACACTTGGAAACCCAGGATTTCAACCCAGGTCTGGCTGACTCTGAGAACCTTACTCTGATCCCCCACACACTAAAACATTTTTCCTAAATAGGCTTCTTTTTAAAAAAAAAAAAACAGCAAATGATTATCTAGAGCTGGACTCACTGTGTTCTACTTCACCTTACACAAGCAAGAACCTATAAAAGGATGCTTTGTAGAATAGAGGCAGTTGTACAAGAGCACAGGAGCATGGCACGGTGGACTTTCACGCAGTGACCTGGCACCTGTGTCCCTTGTAGCAGGATGGGCTCAAAAAGCAAGCATGGTTTCTGGATTGCTCACACATAAGATTTGAGGCTGAGGGGCAGCGGGTGCCAACCTCTGCTTTGCATGAGACAGGCACCATTCTGCTGAGGTTTGTGACAAAGTGTCTTGCTTGGGAAGAGAGGTCACAGAGGCTGGCCAAGAAGAAACTGAGATGAAGATGGTAAAGTAAAGCAGGATCACAGAATCTCCTTTTGGATATCTAGCAAGGCAAATAGAAATTGTAAAAACAAAAATGGAAAGCTGCTTTAAAAAATGCAACAAAAACAGATGAGTACCAACCTACAGGGAAATAGATAAATCTCGTGCCATAAAATCACTCTGACTCATTCGTGTCCCTGTTGGTCATAGGCCCCATCTCAGTCCCACCAGACCTTAGAACAGCCCCACTACCTGGCTCCAGTCCCTCTCCACCATGCTCTAGGACCAGTCAGACCAGCCTAGGGACATGGAGGCAGACCCACCCTTTGTGACCCCAGAAGTTAACTCAGTTCCAGTCCCTTTGACAGTGGTCTGGGACCCATACTTCCTGCCCAGGTGTCCACCAGTGACCCAAGAGGAAGCCGCACCACACACATTCCTGCTATCAGGCCCACCATCTGGGAACACTGAAGCAGACCCTGCGGCTGGCACAAACCCTGCAACCAAGACCAAAAGGCTGAGCCCAGCCTCCTCAGAGACCAGACAGAATCCACACCTACATCTGCTTGGTCCCCTGGAAACAAGCCCACCTCTCAGATTCCCCTGTGGACCCAATGGAAGCCACATGACCCTGCTCAAAACCTCATTCAGTGGGAGCACAAGGTTCTTCACATGCTGGATCAAGTCTGAAAGACAGAAAATTTTTCCTCTCAAAAATAGACACTCATGCAAAGCTCTACAGAGAAGAAAGAGACAACCAACAGGACACCACCAGAGGAAGTTAGTTAAGCTCCAGGGACTGACCCCAAAGAAATGAAGGCCTAGAAATTAACTTCAAAATAATTCACAATAATCATCAAAAAGGCGAGGAGTAGGGGGGAGGGGAAGGGGAGATAAGTAGAATAAAGATATGCCAGGTACAGGAACCTAATAACCTCAATGAATGTAAACATTATAT